AACTCTCAAACAATGTGGGAGAAAAACGTGCCTGACACCTGGATAGCCTTTCCGACTGCTACGGAACCCGTGGGTTCTCCCTCTCCATCAAGTGTTGAAGATACTTCAGAATTGGAGATGGACAAAACAGATGTTGCTGCCTCGATGCCTTTGCCACCTGAAGAAGAGATTAATTTCTTCCAAGGTGTTCTGGCCGCTAGAGGCAAGCTACTATGTGTTACACACCACCTGTATCAGAGGCAGAGTCGGAAGAACCTGACCCTGTGCTAAAAAGCCGCAGGAAGAGCTACAAAAAATACTGGCCTCTGCCCTCAGACTTGGAGGGGGAGGGATGTAAAAATTGTAATGAGGTCAGCCAGGTAGACGTCATAGAGTATGAGTTCCCCAAGTGGGGCTGTTAACCTGGTCCAATCAGAGAGCCTTTGCTGACAGATGTAAACAGGAGCGTCAGTCATCTGATTCACTCAGAGCTGACCCTGAAGATGATGGATCAATGTCAAGGGCTTTCTACATGTTAATTAAAGACTGACTTGGTGATATGATACTGGCCTATGTGAAGTTATTTCAGGTGACTCTTAAACTGACAACATGTGCTGCAATTATAATTAAATGTGACATTTGTAAACCTGGCAGTCTCTGACTTTAACCAATCAGATGTATGGGACGATCAATTATAAACCAGTGCTTGTTTGAAAAGTGGGACAGTCACCAAATTCTTCTCAGCTCAAGGCAAGTCTCTCAAGTTTGATGCCGATGCACAATGGCACCGAATGGAGGCCACTCAGCTGCAGTTTCCTTCTGAAGTCATCAGACCACAATTTTGCCCCAGTGTGCATTGCTGTAGGCCTGCCAGCAACACAACCTCCTAATCTTGATCTGATGTGAACTCTGATTCCAATCAGTATTTTACTGATAACCACAAATTTTTAGCAGCTCTCAGTCAACCATTGGGTTCAGCTGAGGAGACCGCCCCTCACACCTTTGAGGAATAGCAACAACAGCCTGCATTTGTGTAGCACTTTTGAAATAAATGTTTCAATGCACTGTTAAGAGTTTAATCAGCTTAATTCCCTCAAAATTTTGATAATTTGAGACTAACTAAAAAAGAAGTTAGGATAGAAGTGGGACTTAAGCAGCACTGCAGAATCATACATACAGGAGAGCCTTTGGTCAACTGTCTGCACTGACAAAAAAACTACTCTAAATTTACATGAGTCCCATTTTCCAGAACTTGACCCATTATTGTGGCATTTCAAGTGTTTATCCAAGTACTTTTTAAGAGGTTTTCCCATTCAACTACCCTCCTAGAAGTGCATTCCAGATTCCCACCATCCGGATGCATCCCAGAACTGCACAGAGTCACGAGCACAGCCCAGTCATAGATCATAGAATCCCTACAGTGTGGAAACAGGCCCTTCGGCCCCACAAGTCCACAATGACTCTCAGAGCATCCCACTCAGACCCATCCCCCTATAGTTTAGCATGGCCAATCCACCTAGCCTGCACATCTTTGGACTGTGGGAGGAAACCGGAGCATCTGGAGGAAACCCATGCAGACACGGGGAGAATGTGCAAACTCCACACAGACAGTTGCCCAAGGGTGGATTTGAACCCAGGTCACAGGCACTGTGAGGCAACAGTGCTAACCACTGAGCCACCGTGCCACCCATCAGGCAAACCAGCCTTCCATCCATTCACTTCATCTATACTTCCCACTGCCTTGGGAAAGAAACCAACATAATCAAAAACCCCTCCCCCCACCCCGGTTATACTCTCTTCCACCTTCTTCTGTTGGGTAGAAGATATAAAAATTAGCATACACATAAGAATACATTTAAGAACAGCTTCTTCCCTGCTGAGTGAAAAATGTTTTCCTCAAATCCCCTCTAAACCTCCTGCCTTTCATTTTAAAAGTGTGCCCCCGTGTTCTTGAAGCCTCAGCTAAAGGGAATAGCTGCTTTCTATCCACCCTGTCCATGTCCCTTAATCTTATACTACTTAATCAGGTTCCCTCTCGGCTTTCTCTGCTCTCAAAACAAAATACTGAGCTTATCCAGCCTCTTTTCACAGCTAAACTACTCAGGCAACATCCTGGTGAATCTCTTTTGCACCCCTCCATTGTGATCACATCCTTCTTATCGTGTGGCGACCAGAATTGCACACAGCACTGTGGCTGTGGTCTAACCAAAATCCTCAACAGCTCCAACAAAACCTTCCTGCCCTTATAATCTATGCCATGGCTGACAAAGGCAGGTGTCCATATGACTTAACTACCCTATAAACCTGTCCTGCCAGCTTCAGGGATTTGTGGACAAACACTCCAAGTTCCCTCTGTTCCTTTCAGCTTCTGGTGTCCTGCCTTTCATTTGACTACTCCTTTGTCTTTTTCCTACTTCCAAAGTACGTTTACCAGTGGTAAATTCTCTTGCCACTGATCTGCCCATGTGACTTGTCTGTCCATATCCTCCTGTAACCCAAGTCCTCCTTCTTCACTGTCAACTACCTATGTGTCATCCTTCCTAGGAACTTATCATGCAGCCACATTTTCTTCTGTATCGTTTATACATATTAGGAACAATAGCACTGATTCCTATGGTAAGTCACTGGACACCAGCCTCTAGTATCACAAACTGTTGTAAGGTGGATTTCAAACAACAACATGACAGAATACAGGAAAGAGATTGAATGCTTAGCAGCACGGTGTAAAGACAACACTCTCTCCAAGGTCAGCAAAATGATGGATGTGGTCATTGACTTCAGGAAGCAGAGTGGAGGGCACGGCCCTGTCTGTATCAATGGTGCTGAGGTGGACATGGTTGAGAGCATCAAGTTCCTACGAGTGATGATCACCAACAATCTAACCTGGTCCACACATGTCAACACAATGGGCAAGAAAGCACAACAATGTCTTTACTTCTTCAGGAGGCTAAAGAAATTCAGCATGTCCACACGGACTCTTACCAATTTTTATAGATGTACCATAGAAAGCATCCTATCTGGATGCAAGCCAGAAACAGCAGAGAGTCATGAACACAGCCCAGTCAATCATGCAAGCCAGCCATCCATCCATCTATACTTTCCACTGCCTTGGGAAAGCAACCAACATAATCAAAGACCCCCTCAGAAGACATAAAAGTTAGCATACACGTATGAAGAGATTCAAGAACAGCTTCTTCCCTGCTGTTATTAGACTTCTGAATGGACTTCTCAAATTTTAAATTTAATCTTGATCTCGTTCGCTGTGCACCTTCTCTGCAGCCACACCATTGTATTATTTGCTCTGTTCTATTATGCTAACTCACTTTGTATGGTATGATCTGCCAGTAATACATACAAAAAACTTTTCACTGTACTGAAGTTCATGTGACAATAATAAATCAAATCAAATCAAACAGCCTTCTCCACCACACTTTGTCTCCTAGCACAAAGCTAATTTTGGATTGAACTTGCCAAGTTACCTTGGATCCCATGTGTTTTTACCTTCTTTAACAGTCTCCCATTTGGGACCTTGTTAAAGGCATTTCTAAAATCCATACAAACTACATCAACTGCATTACCCTAATCCATACACTTGGACAGCTCCTCAAAAAATTAATCAAATTTGTTAGGCATGACCTCCGTCTTAAAAAGCCATGTTGGCAATCCCTGATCAAACCTTGCCCGTAGAATATGTACAGTGTGGAAGCAGGCCATTCAGGCCATCGAGTCCACAATGATCCTCCAAAGAGCATTCCACCCAGATCCATCCCCACTTATCCTATCCCCGTAACCCTGCATTTCCCATGGCTATTCCAAGTAGCCTGCACAACCCTGAACACTATGGGCAATTTAGCATGGCCAGTCCACCTAACCTGCACATCTTTGGCCAGTAGGAGGAAACCCATGCAGTCACGGGGAGAATGTGCAAACTCTGCACAGACAGTCACCAGAGGGAAGAATTGAACCTTGGTCCCTGGTGCTGCGAGACAGCAGCGCGAACCACTGAGCCACTGTGCCCCTCTAAGTGAAGACCAATCCTTTCCTTCAGAATTTTCACCAATAGTTTCCCTAGCATCATGAAGGAGGACGAGAGAGAGAAAGAGAGATGCAAAGGGAGAGGTTTAGGGACAAATCTCTACAGTTGAGAGCCTCAGCCGCTGAAGGAGGGCTGGCACTCAAAGTGTGGAAGAAGTTAGGTTTCCTTAAAATAAAACAGATCGGTAGAACAGAACATTCTTGGAGGGCTATAAGGTTGGAAGGGGTGACAGAGGTAGAGACGATGAGGTCATGGATGGACTTGAACACAAGATTTATCATTTTAAATTTGATTTATTGGTAAAACAAGGGCTAATGTAGGTCAGCAAACATAGGGTGATGGATGAAGGCCTTGGTAGAAAGTGGTGGTACAGACGGCAGAGTTTTGAGTGGAGATTTATGGAGAATGGAAGTTGGGAGAACATTGGAACAGATGAACATGGGAAGGAACAAAGCATGCGTGAGGGTTTCAGTTAAAACGTGGACAAGAGATGATTATTATACAGGTGGAACCAAGTGGTCTTGAAACTGAAACAGTGGTCAGGAGCTCAGATCAACTTCAATTAAGATGTTGAGGTTAGAAACAGTGGATCAGCTTAATCTAGTATGAAAGCCATGAGATCCTGCCCTGAGCAGGGAGATAGAGGCACAGTTAAACATCTCAGTTCAAAGATGGCACCTCTATCAATGCAGCACCCGCTCAATTACCAAGACCCATTTCCTTACTTTTGTTCGTACAGATCCGGTCGTCTCTGAGTTTTTTGACAATGCATTGAAACCCTCCCCACTCTTTTGTCTCTATCTTTTATTTTTATTTCACAAACGATGCCTTATGTGGTCTGTCAGGTTCGCATGTACAGTCACTGAACAGCAGAGATTTGTGTATCTGTCACTGTGAGTTAACAGGTTGTATCATTTTGATTTAAGCCTGCAGTCCCTGCAGTGCTAAGCTTTAACCAGAACAATATATTCACAGTTATGCTTACCGCTTCTTGAAATCTGACAGCCATTTTGCAATTATCTTCTCATATTTCCTGACTCGGTTTCTCTCTGTCCTCCTGATTGTGTTTCCCGATATTTGGGTAACTCATTTGCCACTCCTGTGTTCGAAGAGGGTGGAGATTGTGCTTGAGGTGTATACAATAGTTCCGGGTTAAAGAATGTGCAGCAAATTCCACGCTGGTAAATTACACCTGCACCTTTAACCACAAAGTAGTGAAAACCTGCTGAGCTAACAGCCCACAGCCTACCTCTGCCCCCGCCCAGTGGTGACACAGCAACAGCACAACCTCAGGTAAACACAGCTATTGTTTTGGGTTTCGAAATCTGAGGCCTATTATACATCCTGCACCAGGGCCCTCAATTTAGTCAACATTCCAAAATTACAGACATAAATGCAGAAACACAGTCACACCAATTATCTGAGCATCTGGAAAGTTTCCTAGCCCAGAGGAATTATAACGGCCATCAAACATTAACTGGTTGGTATGAGGGAGGTGCCCCTTGCATACCAAGTTTGATACAGACATGCCATAATTCTCTGTACACACAGACTAAAGTTACTAAACTGTTTCTACTGGCTTCAATTCTCAATGCTGGATTCGCTCGTTTAAAATCTAGGATAGCTTCACGTAACAGGCTAGCAGGTGTATGCATCCATTTAAACACAGATCTACTGCTGAAAAGGGCTCCTACCCAGTCATGGTAGTGTCCATACCTTTGAACCAGGAGGCCCAGGTTTGGGTCCCACTTGTTCCAGAGATGTGTAACAACATCTTTGAACAGGTTGACCAGAAAATATTTCTGTTGCTGAAATTCTCATTGACACCTTTACCTGCAGAAGTACCTATTCTGATGCATTTCAGTTAGCCTCCCTTTCCCACCCAAAGTCATCCAAAACTCTGCTGCGCCCACATTGTGCAACAGCCTTATTCACCCATTACCCCTATGCCTGCCAATTAATGTTGGCTTCTGGTTAAGTCATGCTGTTTTCTTGTTTTCAAATCTTTCTCATTCTTGTTTTCAAACCTTTCCATGATGTAGATCCTCCACATATCCTCCCTCCCACAACCAATGTGTGCCCTAAATTATATGGCAACTGGGTCGATAAGCTTAGTCGGCTGGAAAGCTGGTTTGTGATGTAGAGTAACACCAACAGTGTGGGTTCAGGGTTCAATTCCTGCACTGGCTGAGTTTACCATAAAGGGCCTTCCTTCTAAACCTCTCCCCTTGCGTGAGGTGTCATGACCTTAGGTTAAACCATCACCAGTTGGCTCTCTCTTAATGGACAGCGGCCCTCTGGGACTATAGTGAATTTTGTGTGATACGGCCTAAAGCTGGTGAAAGAAAAAGTGAGGAGCAAGAATCTGCATTTACATAGGAATGCAGGAAGAGGAGAAAACTATTTACCTCCTCCGTACTGAATCTGATCTACCAATCAATGAGATCATGGTTGATCCATGACATAACTCTCTATATACATCTTTGTCCTATAATAGTTTGGATAACAAAAGTCTTCCAAATCTCAGATTTAAAATGAACAATGACCTAATGTTAGTTGCTACTTATGGAAGAACATTTCAAATTTCTACCACTCTTTCTGTGTAGTGATTCCTAATTTCACTCCTAAAATATGTGGCTCTAATTTTAGATCACTGTATGTCCCCAGACCTAGACTTGCAAACCAGTAGAAATAATTTCTCCTAATCTACCCCATCTGTTGCCCTTAACGTATTCATTGAGAACTTTGCACAAATCACCCCATAATCTCCAAGGAATACGAGTCTAATTTATGTAATCATATTTTATTCCTTGGAATCTAGGTATCATTTTGGTAAAGCTATGCTGCACTCTCTCTGAGGTCATGATATCCTTCCTAAAGTGCAATGCGCAGAGTTAAACATTAGGCTCCAGGTGTAGTCTAATACAGCTTTGTAAACTGCAGCATTACTTCTAAATCCTTGAATTCTTGTCCTTCAAATATAAAACCAAGTATTCCATTAGCCATTTTGGCTATTATCGTTGCCTGACCACTTTAATTGCTTGAATGCCCACAGAAACATATGAATTAAGAATAGGAGTAGGGCCATTTGACTCCTCAAGTTTGCTCCACCATTTGATAAAATCGTGGCTGATCTGATTGTTGCTCAACTCCACTTTCTGTCTTCGATGTAACCATTGAATTTCTTGTTTATTAAGAATTTCTCCAACTCGGCCTGAGCATATTCAATAAAAATAATCGATAACCCTACTTTCCCTGCCATGTGGGGAAGAGAGTTCCAAAGATGAACAACCCTTTGAGAAAATATTTCTCCTCATCTCCATCTTAAATGAAGTCTCCCAATGACCTGAATATATACACAAGCAAAATGATCTACAGGACCATAAGATATAGGAGCAGGATTAGGCCATTTGGTCCATCGAGTCTGCTCCACCATTCAATCATGGTTGATATATTTCTTAACCCTATTCTCCTGCCCTCTCCTCACAACCAGTCAGCCAACCCTCTATCCATGCCAGTACCTTGCCCTGAACATCATGGGCTCGTCATTTAGCAGCCTTCTGCGTAGCACTTTGTCAAATGCCTTCTACAAATCCAAATAGATCACATTCATTGGCTCTCCTTTGTCTAACTTGCTCATTACCTCAAAGAATTCTAGCAGATTTGTCAGGCATGACCTCTCCTTGTTGAAGCCATGCTGACTCAGCCCTATTTTGCCATGCACTTCCAAGTAGTCCACAATCTCATTCTTAATAATGGAGTCTTAAAATCTTACCAACGACAGAGGTCAGGTTAAGCAGCCTATAGTTTCCTACCTTCTGCCTCCCTACCTTCTTAAACAGGGGTGTTACATTAACCATTCTTCAGTCATAGAGTCATGGAGTCATACAGCACAGAAGCACACCCTTCTGTCCAACTTGTCTGTGCTGACCACACATCCCAAACTGACCTACTCCCATTTGCCAGTTTTTGGCCCATCTTCCTGTAAACCCGTTCAATTCATATGCCCATCTAGATGCCTTTTAAATATTGTAGCTGTACCTGACACCACCAAATCCTCTGGCAGCTTGTTCCATACATGCACCAAGCTCTGTGTGAAAAGGTTATCCCTCAGGTCCTTTTTAAATATTTCCCCTCTCATCTTAAACCTATGCCATCTAGTTTTGGTCACGCACCCCACCCCCCACACCCCACCCTAGGTAAAAGACCGTGGCTATTCACCCTTTTCATGACCTCTATAAGGTCACCACTCAGCCTCAAGTTCTAGGGATAAAAACCCCAACCTGTTCAGTCTCTCTATAACTCAAATCCTCCAGTCCCGCCAACATCCTTGTAAATCTTTTCTGCACCATCTCAAGTTTAACAACATCCCTCCTAGAGAAGGGTGACCAGAATTATAGCAGTATTCTAAAAGGGGCCTCACCAATGTCCTTTACAGCCACAACATGACGTCCCAACTCCTATACTCAATGTTCTGACCAATGAAGGCAAGCGTGCCAAATGCCTTCTTCACCACCCTTTCGACCTACGACTTCACTTTCAAGGAACTATGCACTTGCACTCCTAGGTCTTATTGTTCGGCAATACTCCCCAGGGCCCTACCATTAACTGTATAAGTCATGTCCTGGTTTGCCTTTCCAAAACGCAGCCTTCCCTGACTCCAGAGATTCCTGAAGGCCTCCAGGTGACTGCCTACTTCTGTTTGGTCTGAGTCTCTTAGAGTAATTTGATTTTTGATGACAGTTTATAAGGAGTCAAATTCCAGAAAGGACCACAAGCATTTCTCTCCATAAGAGTGAGACAACTGGTTATCTATAGCTTGAGGGTAACCATTCTGTAATCGTGGAGTAAGGTGAGGAGGCAGGAACTTGATGCACTCAGGCAGTATAAAACATGTAATAGCTGCTCAGCCACTTGTTAAAACAGTTTTCCTGAATGCTTGATTCCATCTACATTGATAGAAACAGAAATAAGAACAGATATTTCCTGATTTTCTCCGCCATTTAAACTCAGCTCCTTCATATTCTTCTGCTTATAGTAACTCAGCACATCTTGTCATTTTGGACAGTATTATTGAGTTGCCTGTATCAACAACACACAGACTGTAGAGATTCAAGAAGATGCTAACTATCACCTTCTTAGCGGCAATTAGGGATGAACAATAGATGCTGACCTAGCTGCCAATGCCCTCATCCCGTGAAGAAATTGAGAGAAATCTCATGGAACCAAAAGCAAAATACTCCACACATTGTAAATTTGAAATAAGAACAGAAAATGCTGTAAATACTCAGTACGGCTAATGGCATCTGCAGAGAGACAAATGCAACAGTTAGGTTATTCAAAGGGCGACACGGTCAAGATCTGGTGAGGTCAGGACTCAACGTAGGCGAGCTTTGAAAATCATGGTCCCAAAGGTCATTTCAGGATCTGAATGACTCCAGACAGTTTCAAATTAATAATTCTTTAAGCTCCTTCAGGAGAATGCTAAGGACCCTGACTGTTCCTGAATGTAGTTTTCAATTCTTTACCTGACAATCCTGAACCGTCTTGTTTGCGTCAGCACACAGATGTCATGTTCACTGTGGAACTGAAGTATCTCTGCAGCTGTCTCCAAAACAGATATTTGGGCTCAACTACCACTGTTACATGCACTGGGACCTGACTTTGTTCTTTAAAGTTGCTCATTCCACCTCCCATGGCCTTGCTAGGAGCTGTGTGCTCCAATCGGCAAGTCAACAGCAGCTCCTAACTATGACTGACACCTGCCTTTATCACTGGCATCAAGCAGGCAGCTCTTTCCTCCAGAAGACACTCAGTGTCTACTCTACTCCTGGCCAGTTAGGTCACTTACATTTAAAAATCACACCTTTAGAGTAACACAGGCACAGGGTAGTACTGGATTCCAACTGGGTGTTGAGATCAACCTAGCATTGAAAATCCAGCCCACTGTTTCAGGCCAACAACTTTTCACCAGAACTCAGATCTTCAATTGTTGCTATTGCTGTGTCATTAAGCTAGTATAATTGTCCTGTATGAATTTGTTAGTGCTGTGTTTAGTGCTCTGAATTTTGTCTGATAATAATCCTGTGCAGTGCTTAA